ATCACTGTTATTCATTGTTGTGCTGGTGAAACATAAATCCTGGTCAGAAACAACTTCATTATAAACCTCTTTTACAATGTTATCTATCTTTAAATGTCTATTCTTTAACTTCGAGAGAAATAAGTATTTAAAAGCTTATTATAGAAAGTTTCCATCTGCCCTAAAGATGCAGCATTTGTTTACATGCAAAGGTTCAGAACTCCGGAAATTATGTAAATTTGTTGATATTATTGTTAAAAATTTGATAATATGTAAGTTTACTATTAAGAAATTATGTACCATAACCTATGAAATGGATCGATGATATTGTAAATATTTTTGTACTTATTTTCCAAGTATTGTTTTAAAAAATTTCTATGTCTCATAACGAGATTCTATGGAATAAAGTTTATTATTATTATTATTACACATAAATCTGTAGAGCTATTTTCATCTTTAGGGTCGGCAATAAAATCCATTGCTGGGTTCTGTGCTAGCTTCAAAGCCAGTTCAACCATTTTTCTACCCCTGGACAACATTTTGAAGCAAATTGTGTAGGCCTAGCACGTTTTTTCCTAGGCTAAGGAGGATGCCATTTTTCTAGGTCATGTGACTATAACCTAGCAAGTTACATTAGGAATATATATCAGCAATGGGAAAATTTAGTAATATACACAAAAGATATCATTGTACAATGTAAAAAGCTGGTAAGTGTGCATACTAGTTTTTTCCTCTGGATACATGACCCAGTGGTGGCTATGAAATCTTAATGTGATTCAGAAGTTTAGGTAGACTTTTTCCAAACAAAAACAGCATAAAACAATGGAAACAAGCCTAGTAAGTAAGATTTCGACCATACTCATTCTTTTTAATGTTAGGTACTAGGTATTTCCAATGGCCGCTATAAATGTTTCGCCAAATGGAATTCGGGTTTCGTTTTGCGGTTTCGATCGTTAGTAGTTTACTTGGTTTATATATAGGTCAGTGGGCACACTGTACAGGACTAATAATAGCGACAGCTTGTAGCATCATCTGTCGGTTATATCTCTCCAGAGTAGCGAGGCCAACTCAACCATTTGCCTTTTCCGGACACTTATAGCATCCACTAATTGTGTCACAGCTGAAGGGTCTTTTCTGTCTGATTTATTATTGGGGCACACACAGGTAGATTCAGATAAGTTTGATATACCAGAATAAAAAATCATATTCATATCTATTCATGAAATAATCTACCAATTCCTTAGCTTAATGGTTCCATAGCAAATCCTTCAATTGATAATTATTAATATTACAATGCACAGCAATGTCAGAAAGTTCTACAAGAAGAAAGTTTCCACCAATAGCCCGTTTCAACGAGTTTTTTTTTTATTTCATCAGCTTGCCTTGTCTCCTTCTTACATTTAGAAGCTGAACATGTTGCTGTTTACACAATACACACATGTGCGCAAATGTACAGTTATTCCTTACACATCCAACGACTCCGTTAAAATTATTGCGTAGGGCCTTAGGCAACTCCATGGTAATACTGAATCTTGCGACCTCTTACATCAGAATCAGGTTTCCGTGATTTGTTGGTGGAGTCCCCTTTTGTCGAAGCTCAAAACTCCGTTCTATGGTTAGAACCAAGGCAAATGGAGCAGTACAGAGGTTTTATATAGATACATAATGGTATATTCAACAGACCCCAGTTAACTTTCAATCCCTGCTCCAGAAAGTTGGGCGACTTTCAAGAAGAAAGCCTGATGCATAAAACAAAGTACCACCATAAGTTGAGGCCATGGAAGTTATGTGGGCTAGGTAAATGTAGATTCTAAATGTGGAGGTTGCTAAAGAACAAGAAAATTGATATGATCTGTTGAAGGTTTTTATTAAAAGATGACACATGCGGTGCATCATGTGCTGCTATTTCAGCCGGGCTTATAAACAATTCACTAGAATTTCTTAACGTACCTCCAACGTCTTCTGGTAAATCAGTTGAACCGCTTAAAGGTTGTTGTAGTAAAGTTTGAATGGTTCCAGTGCGATTTCTTACATCAATGTGTAAGTGCTTCTGCTTAGGCTTAATTTAAAAAAATCGCAGCATGTCCGTCCTCGTGGCCACGTATTCTTGAAACGATCTTAGCGCAAGGATCTCCCCCTATACCTCACATGAGAGTCTGTGGCCCTCTTTACCTTCAGCTGATATTTTCCATTTCCTCTATTTTTTTCGTTCCTCACTGGGATCCCTGAAATAATAGACTTTTTGTGTGACCACATTTTGTAGAGATAGAAATTTCTATAAATCTTGTAAAGTAGATAACTACCAATGTATAATTTGATCCATTCCAATAAAATAAATCAGAACCAACATTTTGCCATGGAAATCACGATGGGTCAAGAGGTTCAGCATTTATCTGATCTATGTTTAATGCAATTAGTACAATTGTGCAAAAAGATATTCAATGTCAGAGTTGATTCCATACCATATTTTTTTTTAGCTCGTTCACATTTCACAATACCCTGATGACCTTCGTGTAATTTCTAACGAATTTTGACTGTAGGTACAACTAATCTAAACCTTCTCGTCTCTGTTTAGGACGACTTTCTCTGCATTAAGACCGCCACAAATTCATATGAAGATGCAGATATCTGATGTAAGGATCATAAAAGGTTAAGATAGGCACTGAAACAGGAACATATAAGGTTAAGACAGGCACTGAACTAAATTTCTTCTTTATTTCAACGAAAAATTTGTTTTGCCTATCTTCCATGTCCACGTGTTATCCTTCTTGAGAAGCTCAAGTACAGAATGTAACTGACCAGCAATAGTAGGTGAATTTTTTTCCAGATGATTTATCATCCAAATGAATCTTCTCGCTTCCGTGACATTTGTAGGTGGAGGCATATCCATAACAGGCTTGATTTTCTTTGGATCTCGACTAATACCATGCTGGTTGATGACATGTCTGACAAAGGTAATACTGTCTTTAGAGCCCCGGTTCCCAACCTGGGGTGTTTTCAACCCCTTGGGGTATGGGACTAGGGTGTCAAGGTTGTGGCCAACTAGTGTAGGAGAAGAATTTATTTTGAATTGAGCGAGCACCTCACATCATCACATGCTGAAAATGTGGATGATACAAATTCTTGGGGGTATGAAAAGTCTAAATGATTGCTCCAGGGATGTGAAGGCTAAATAGGTTGGGAACCACTGCTTTAGAGGACGCACCATTTCTCTGTTGAACGTAACCCCAGCACTCTGGAGCGAAGACAAAAACAATTAAAGTCTACTATCTTGTTCTTCTTGGATTTCCTAAAAACCAGAATGCCACACATATTACATAAATACCCTTCTAAGTTCTCTAAAAGTTGTGACGAGGACTTTTGCAATACCTCCATAAAGGTATTATAGATGTAATTAGTAAACTTGATGATTTGTTTAAAGGAAATTGCCAAAATCCCGAATTAGCATCGATTTTCGAGAACATCATGACACCGACAAGCTGACGTACGATTAACGCTCGGTAGTAGATGCCGTTAACGAATGACAGATTTATTGAGCTGAGTCAGGTCTACACATATTCTTACTGCTTAAGAGTGTGAGCCGTTCTCCTTACTTCTTAAAGATTGCTTCCTCTCCACCACCACTATTGGCGCGCATCACTCAGTTAGCTTTTCAGCTTGTGAAATTACACCTTGAATGCGTTTAAGTTCGTTTTTAACTTGGTTCATAGGCGGAACAACACTGCATCCTCTTTTAGTTTTATAGAGTATTCACCTTTCAGCTTTCCAAGACCTATAAATAGTTTTGAGTATTTATCTTAATAAAACGTAGATAGTCTTTTACTTTCTAAAAAAGTCAAAAATTTACGAGACCACATAAAAAATATCTTATGTAATTGTTAACAATACAAAAATTGACCAAAATTCTAAATAAATAATCTTTTTCGTTTCCTTCTTAGCATTGCAAGCCAGTTGTCTAGGGGCATGTACAGACGTTCATGCTCAGTTCTTAGTTGAATAAGGTTAAATATGTAAACTCTCATTATTTCTCTTAATGAAGACTAAGTGAGAGAATTGTTTGATACTCATTTCAAACACATAAAAGCGGACCTAAAGAGCATCTAGGTGCCAGTAGTTACTGTATTGGAAATTTGAAAATTTTTATTTCATTTTTAAACGCCCATGAAATGTGATTTTAATGGAATTTTTTGTGATCATTTATATTGATGAGATCGTGGTCAAGTTCGAATGTGGCAATCTTTCGATGATCGGTTTTTTGAGTTATTGCCCTTGACTTGGGAAAAACGCGTCAAAATTTGTTCGTGAACACAATAAATTTTAACAAAATGAATATTTACTTAAACCACATTATTAAGTCTGTCCGTATTTGGTCAGATCAATTTTAAGAATATCACAAATTATTCTAGACAAAATGTGTAAAATTTTAGAATAATCAGACCACTATTGATATAAAATAATGACCATTTTTTTTAGAATAGGAGCCGCTACTTTTGGAAGATGGTCATCTGATTGTTACAAACGTTACTTTATATACCAGATTTACAATCAGTTGATCTAATTTCCTAGATAATTAACTTCAAATCCTTAACAACCCTTCAACCATCCATTTTTATACTACTTCATTTTTGCTACATGGAAACACTTAGAAATGGCATCTGTTGTCGAAAAATGAATGGCCGACCAATTTTGTCTTTCAGTTCCACTTTTCTGAAGATAGCTGATCTCCCATCGTGAATCTTCTAGACTGGAGAGTCCCACACATTGTTGATATACTTGATCCAAATTTCAGCTCAAATTGACTATCAGCTGAATTTTTGTTTATATATGGAATTATTAACATTGTACAAATATTGTTATCAAATCATTCCTAGAATAGACTGTGAAATTTTATTCTATGTTGTTTGGTAGTTCGTGTACACTATCATTGTACTTTCTATTACGACCTAATTGGATAACGTGATTGAGATAAGGTCGACTATTTACCGTATGGTTCCGGTCACATGTTAAAACGTCTTACCAACATGTTGAGGATAATTCTCGTTTCACTGTTAATATCTTTAACGCACGGTGTAAGTTTAAACTTTCTATTTCCATCGACTGTTGCTGCTTGTCCTAACGCTTATGAAAAGTTGAAACAAAAGGGAATGCAATAATGGTCCCACTATGGGTTCTACAGCGTTTATCATGAAGGAATGTAATTGAAAGGAAAGACGGACATTGTCGTTGACAAAAATACGTCCTCAGGGAGAAAAAGCTGTTTGAAAATGAAAAGTAGCTAGTCTAATTATTCGCTCGTATTTATTAGTTACATATAAATACATAGCCACTACAGTAATGTCTAGCACTATCATTCTTGATTTTTCATTCTGTTAACCTTTCGCTTGACCTTTGTTTTTTTTTAATTAGACTAGCTTATCAAGTCCGCTAGTAATACGCCACGGAAGACACATATTGTTCGCGTCACATTATCCCGTCGCTGGAAAGGGCAGCCACGTGATTGGTTAAAACAGAGGTCAAGCAAAGGTTAACAGAATGAAAAGTCAAGAAGGACAGTGTTAGATCTTAGTGCAGTGGTCACGTACAAAGCTAATAGCTTATAAAACATTCGAAACGAAACTAATGAAATACGAACGGAAGTTAGGTTTAGTTATTCTATTTTTCTTCTTTTTTTTTTTTTTTGACTGAGGTAGCTGTCGATGCTAATAACTCTTCATTCATAGATAACATCGCCTCATCCGAGATACCATCTATAAATGCACATAAGCACCAATGTACATCGAAATCGTATGAAAACTTTATTCGATCACGAGTTGACTTTGATGACTTTTGGAAACATTAAATTTATTTTCATATACAAAATCATCAACCAAAAATGTGGACCACTAAAGAACGATAACTCGTGCTCCTCTGCTGCAATTGAAGAAAAATGAAATTCACTTCATAATTTTTTCATCCATTTTCTTATATTTGACCTCCCTTTCCTTACTAGTTTCTACCGTAAGAACAACAGATAAAACTTTTATCATATTTTATATTGTCGTTATTCTACAGCACACGACATTTTCTTTACAGATTTGGACGAAACTTTTTTTTATGACAATCCAGGATGGGCCCTTTCAAAAATCGTAAAATTTTAAATATGAGTTATTGCCCTTGTCTTTCGAACTCGTTCAATTTAGAACTCGGTAAACACTCAGTCCTTGTTTACACGCCTGCAACATCTAGAGAGGCTGACTTTAACTTTGATGGTTCAATTAATTCTTTGATAAATCTCAACCGTAAATATCTGGAATCGAGTCTAAAAATTACACTCTGTTAGGAAAAGGTTTATGTTATATTTGCTTTATTTTATCTCTACAATGTCCTTTTAAGATTTAACAATTTTTTGTAATATTCAAAATGAAAATGTAATGTACCAACGAAAATTATTCTTGCTGTTAATTTTAAAAAAAAAATTATTTATTAATTTCAGGCCACTTGGAAACCAACTAGTTGGGAACATTGTCGCACCAATTCAGACTGTCCTAATATTAAACAACAATGTTGTTCCATTACGCCATCACTTGGTAAAAGACAGGCTATGTTTCCTGTCTTTGTGAAATATTGTCTACCTTATAAAGTGGAAACGGCTCCATGGTGTGAACTTAGATTACAGTACAATTCAACCACACCTAATTACCATGGATTGTGTCCGTGTGCACCTGGTTTAAGATGTTCACCATCTACTGAACTGAATAATGATCATTATCCTAGAGAAAGATTTGGTAAATGCAAACCAATAGCATAAGAATGTTAAATCGTAGATGGTTTTGATCAATTAAAATAACTTTTTCAATATTACGTTGTTTTGTCAATGAATTAATATAAGTCAGTATTATTGTTTGATACGATTTACTTAAGCGTATTTGAAACTGTATGCTTGTCCAGCAGTATTGAAACAGATAATGCTTATGGCTAAAGACTAAAGAGGCAAAATGTATTTATAATGTGTCAGGCTTGTTTCACTTATAATCTCCTGCGATAATGTCTAATAATTTATTTTTATTGCATGGATGCTTTACAACCATTATACAAGAATATGCTTAAACTCGTTGTGTCCCTGATGTCACTCTGCAAATGAGTTTGTCAACTGCGCACCTTTTTCTGAAAGCCAAGTAGCTGATATTGATAATGTTCGTTTGATATATTTGGAATTTTTTAGTTATATTTATTCATGAACCGTAGATTGACTTGATCTGATGACTTGATATAGAGTATATATGGAATTAAACGCTGGCAAGTTATTTTCCAGTATTTCTGTTGGTCTAAAAATAATAAACGGGTAAGATACACGTTTATCCAGTCCCCATTGGTAGGTCGTACATGCAATGAATCGTAGTGTAAAATATGTCGAAAAAGACTTATTGACACGTGCCTTGAAGGGCTACAGATTATAGACTAATTAGATAGCTATATAGATATCCAGATTGTCTTTAAAACATATATAATTATTTCATTCAACTACAATTATTGCTTGTTATAATCCTGATAGAGGCTTCAATAAATTTGTAGCTGACACTAAAGTTAAAACTTGAAGCCTCGGGTTATAGCTACACCTGGTTCTATACCCCCATGTCATTTTGACTGATACTTACAATCACCTATTATTACATAGTGTCAATTTAAAAAAAAAATACTTTAAATGGTACCAATTGAAAATGTGTCAAACTCTATTTATCTTGGGATTTTGGATTCAAGTTCAACTTCACATACTTTATATTTTGAATAAAAATTATCGATGTTTCAAGTGTTTTGTGTTTACATGTCCATTAATTCCATTGAATTATTGAAGTAGGAGGTTTGATTGAAAATTATTCGGAGCTTAATTAAGCAATTGTTCTCCTAGCTGTTTCCAATTTTCCGTACATTGTTTTTAATGCACTCTGTGAGCGTACTAGTAAAAGATGAATAGCATGTGGTAGTTTTAAAATGAGTTTGAAAAGTTCAAAAATACAATCGGAATATCCGCAACTGAAAACTAACTAAAATTTACCAGAGACACATTTCATACCGTCATTGGTCAAACTGAAAAGAAGTTATTTTATGTGTTCCGATACCATCAAAATTGACATTCGATTAAGACACATTTATCTCTTCTTAAATAAATTGAAAGAGGGCATAGTTGATAAATTTATCTGGAATATCTTCCTTAGCTTTGCACTTTTGTGGTGTGATGTATAATGCATGAATGGGTAATTCCGTTTTTTACAACAAATTCACAAGAATGTCCAAATTGTACAATTATTATTTCCACAATTTATATTATCAAAAACCATTGATTCTTTCTTCACGAGTGTATGTCTTATTGTTTTTCTACAGTTCAGTTTTACTATTCAAATATTTTCCTCAATTTCCATATTTTCTTGATTTATGACAAAAATATTGTGCTCTATATGTGAATAATATTGTTATATGGTTATTTTTGACAATAGAAATATCTGTATATTATAATCATTCCACCTTATTATTACAAAAATGTTACCTTTGGGCTACGATTAGTCCATACGGTTGGAAATTGACCACTTATTGGATTGTGTAGTCTAGATTTGCCAGACCATATTTGTAATCGGTAATTAGTAATGTGCCTGGAAGACACCACCTCAACATTACGCGACGTTTCAGTTAGACGAATTTGTAAGTGCTTTAGCACAACAAATCCAATAGTACTTGAATAACAATACAGTAGTTACGATTTATCTGTGAATAACGAATTCTGTAAGAGAAAATCTTCTATGCCAATATTGACACTAGTTATTTGAAGGATTGACTTGTTTGTGCCAATGGCAGTTGGGTAAAGGGTTGTATTAAGCCATGGACATTGAAATGTTCTGGGTCGTAAATGATGTTATTAACTATGTAGACGGTGGAGCATGAATAATGTTATTATATAACTAATAGCTTACTTTTGTCTCTATATTAATTCCCTGTCACCTTCCATTAAAAAAATTGAGTAGTTTTTTTAAGTAGCTCCTTGAGATGCTTTCCGTACCTTACACCATTTCTCTCAAGACTGCAATGAATGCTCCGGTGGTCGAATTCTTGTTAAATTCGGAACGCGTGGGAAGATTTATTTGATGTTGAAATGTCAACAAGGCAGTATATGCCAACAACTTTGGGAAACCTAGTGTTTTTCTGAGAAATTACATCGTCAATGTCAGATGTTTGGTCATTTTATTATTCAATTTACAACGTATAACAAGAGCATTTTCTTTTCCTGAATACGGGATTAACCATATGGACTTAATGTTTTTAATACAAAGAGCAATGCTCTGTGTCACTGAAAGACCATTTCACGTCATTAAATTTATGCTCTTATGTAAGACTTTATCGCCACTCTTACTTACTAACATGTCACTGATTCATTGGTATGCAATTTATATCTATAGTCTATATCCCAGCATTAACAAATACAGAAACAACTTTGACGCAATATTGTACAAATAATTATTTTACATCTTGTTTGGGAGGACCATTTTAACACTTCCCTGAATAAAGTGTTGATCGTCTCAAATACAAGTTTCACAGAATGAATAAAGACAAATTAAGATGTTGACAATTGTATGTAAATGAAAATTGAAATAATGTTGATCTGCAGTGTCAGATAAAAGCACAAGGGCGTTAAAATTCATGGTGACACTAATATTGTTTGCGAATAGAAGAAATGCCCAGATCTTGTTGACTTCTATAGATGACTTGTCGTTCTACTAGGTAAAACAATATAAGGTGTATAAGGACTGGCTATAGAGAATTTGAGGGTGTGAGGAGATCTTTACATTGATAAAAGTCAACTAATTTCTTAAACAAATATCGATAAGTATAGTTGATTATTCTATTACTATATGGTGTCTCCTTCAGGCTACATTATTTTTACCTTCTCTGTTCTACACCTTGTGGTTAGTGGACTTGAGGAATTTATAGTTCAATCTTTTTAATTGTTTTAAAATATTGGTCGTGAGTTAAAAATAAGAAAATTAATTTAAAATATATTTTCTATTATATCAACATCATATTACGATATGGGGACAGTCAAAATGTTTAAGATTCAAAAGAGATTTCCCTATATATAAACAAATGCAAATTGTCGAAACTCTCACTATAGCTTCCGTTCCAATTTCCCGTTTGACATTGTTGGTTCTTGTCATTCCAGAAAAGAATCTCAGATTTTGATATTTCTTCAATAAATAAAAAACTTTTGCGGTCACAACCGTCGAAAGGAAAATTGCAATAGTTCAAATAGAGTCTCCAGCAAACATACAAGCGCTAGAAAAAATGTTTTGGATCCTTTAAAGATACAAACCATTCTTCAATTTTCTAATCAAAATGCAAGAGTAAATTTTTGCCATATTAATTTGCTTCAAAAGGATTTGTCAATATATTGCTCCACTCGCTCTCACACTCGTAATTTTGCTCATTTATTGTTGCAATAAGACGCTTATTGGCAGTGATCAAAGGGAAGGAGAAGTACTTAGTTAAGGAGTATTAGGCAGAGAACATTTAAGATTGTATGCTTATCAAAAATAAGATTATGGGTATTATAATTCATAATATCCTAAATATATGATAATATTGGAGACGTCTTTTTAATATATTATAATTAACAGACTGACAAGATTATGATAATTTATGATAATCTTTAATCTCATTCGTAATTGGATTACATAATTTAAGAAAGAGTCAATCGAAACGCAAAGAACAGTTAAATGTTCCCTATCGATGACCTGCAATCCATATAGATATCTTTAAAAGTGGCTAAATATTGTATAATAGGGTACAATTTAAGCGGTATCGTATCGCGATTGCGCCTCTTTTGCCATCCAATATTTCTTATTATTATATTCTTATATTAAATTGAACATTTTTCATGTTAATGATCACTGCTCATATAAACCTTAAATGAACCGTTTGGTCTCAAAATAACTAGATCCATTGTATATTTTTTTTAAATATTATTTTATGTGATATCGATCTTGAATGTCTACCGAATTTTCATGAAGTGCAAGTCAAATTGTTTTATTTAAATAGTAACGTTTCATATACGATTTACTTTAAGGAAGAAATTCTGAGCAAATTTATTTGACCACTGAGGCAACTTTTTGAAAAATTTCAATTTAGGGTTGAAGGGTTCAAGTTAAATCGCAGTTTTTTTAGTTATTTGATTAGCCAAAATTAAACTTTATAACTATGATCCGCAAATCAAATT